TGTCTCATCCCGTTAATCGCTGTGACGCCAGACACCATCCCATTGTGAAGTTGACGGACCGTTTGTGTGAAAATATCCGGGAATCAAAACTGCAGCATGATTCTTCCAAGTCCATCGCCTTCGTTAAACCTAGGCATTTAATTCAGAGAAGGCTCCGCATTTCTCAGCAACTCTTGCGTACTTCCTGGGCCCCGAAGATCATGTCGGTGCTTCTGCGGCTCCTGAAAAATCCACACTGGCTTTCTGGGAGAAATTCCTATACTAACTGCCTATTCAGATGGCTGGAGGGGACGCGAATGGCGATTCTCCTTTCCATATTTAGTATGGATATGCTTCTGTGAATGTAGCAGATCCGTCAGTTAGGTTGCAAATAGATATAGATGATGGTTGTGTCTCACTGGGGTGTTTTTTTTACCATGTCTCTAGAACGCAGGAAAGCAGCCTTGTTTGCGTCGGTTCCGTAATTGGCTAAGTGGGTAAGTAGGTAGCTTATTCTGCTTGACAAGTAAGTCAGTGAGTTCCGCATCTAGGTTGTCAAACCTGACTTGGTGTTGGTGATACGCATGGTCCAGGTCATTCATGGTCGCGAACTGAGGGATGTTCCGCCGTTGAAACCCTCGTGCCTCCACGGTTGCGTTGTAGGCTGAAGCCCGTTAGTCTTCAAGCGCAGTCCAAAGAGATTCTTGCATCCTACACGGTGAGCATATAAATTCAACGGAGTAATATTTTGCATACCTAGTGGTCGCTTAAATTGTGGTCCCTTGCAAATATGCATTCGGTGCCTCACCTGGGCAATGACGAGACGGCAAATTGTGCGACCATCGGTGTCGCAGACAGAATTGGTCACAAACACGTTCTGTCGATGTCGAGTCCGATCGAGAATGTAGTCGAGCAGGTGCCAGCCCCGCAAGCAAGTGTGCTTCCCTATTGCGTTCTGCCGCGTCGGAAAATTGGAAAATTTGTTAGTGAGGAGGTGAAGGCGGAGTTCGATGCAGTTTCGCAGGATGAGTAGTCCGTCATCATTGAAGTCCTGAATTCCAATGGGACCCGGCACTACCTCACAGGTAGCGTGGTTTGTCCGAACGTGAACCCTGGAGCCCCCATGCAGAGCCATCCTTCACAGAGTCGTCAGGAGGACTTGCAGTAATTTGCAAAACATGTTGCTCACCTCCTCAAAGCCCGTAGCTGACAGAACGTAGACATTGACAACGGTAGAGAATTTGGCTCCCAGGAGATGCCAACATACGGTCATAAAGTGTTCGTTTGTCCCCTGCGGTAGAGGAGGCATTGTCCCTTCGGACGGTGAAGACAACGCCAGCATCGCGGCGCCCGCCCTTTGGTGACGGGTCTAGAAGAATGTATAGCTGAGGCCCGTCTCCTTCAGCTGACCCCGTTCAAAGAATTTAGTCTCGCCTGGTGCAGCTATGCCCAACTTGTAAGGAGCCAGTCCTCCTTTCTGGTTGGCCTTTCCGCACAATGTCTAAAAATGAGCAATTTCCGGGCTGTCTGACTGCGGAGATTCACTGTAGTAGCTTGTAGAATGGATTAGATGAGATAGTGTGGAGGGTCGTTAGTTGACTGGTTGTTTCTTCTACGCTATTTGCATATACGCGTCAAGGTTTGCTTGCGGATGGCGTGATTTCCCAACATTCTTAAGACAACTATTCTAACTTCTTTCTTCGCCAGTGGGTAAGTAATGCTGTTCTTGATTAGGGCTGCTTATGCATCTCAGAATGCTGTCGAACACCACTGTGCGTAATGGCTTATGTCCCAAACGGGCCACGTGCTAGATGTGCTGGACCAACAGGGGGGCCATATCGGATTCTGGCAAGGGTCATCAGATTGCACACCATAACAAATGCCAAAATGTCGGGATGCGGTGGAAGACCCGAGCCGGCGGACGTCGCACACACTAGGACTCCTGCCACCTCCGCTTTGTTGTTGCTGTTATTGGCCAAAATCCTGGTGAATTGCTGTGTGGACGAGGGTGTGTGAAGTGGAGCGCCAAGATGCGGGCTCGATCGTGCAATCCACCTGCGCCCTCTCACGCCCTCTCCGCTCTTCTTGATTTTGTCCTAACACCAGATCCACGTGGGGGAGGAGGAGGGGGTCCGGTAGATGCTGTACAAGTCTGCGTTCCTTATAAACTAGTTCACGCACACGTCACAATCCCTCCTCCATCTCGTTGTAGAGTACACGGTGGACATCGTCGGCAACGACGGCCGAACTGTCGGGTAACAGTTTGGTTTATTTGGAAAGCGGTTCGAATTAACCTAAGCCACTTTCGGCATCGCATGTCAATTTTGCCGCAGCAATTATTTTAGAAGAGTGGAAGGAATGTGGAAGAATGCAAAAGGGGATAGAGTTGCCGAGTGTCGGGAGACACACAACACCGAACACCGCCATCTGGATTCGTTTGCCGGTCGAGTCGGTTTTCAGATAGTGGCCGCTTTGGGGAACCAGCCTTGATGGACCACAGGTGAGAGTTGGAAGCCAGTAAGAGAACAAACGGACCAACCACCACCCACATAACGCAGATAATGCGACCTATCGATCTTGGACACCGTATCCCCTAACAGAACATACCTACATCCCCATGATAAAGTTTTAAGTGCCTTCGTAAAGCGTGCTCTATAGCATGTTTAATTTATGCTGACATTTTCCTGAAAAAAACTGCGGCGTATTTGCCGTGGTAAACTCAGAAATAGTAAATGGCAGCCTAGTAGTACTCAGGCGCTTACTTCGTGCTGAATAAAGATAATTTTCGTAAATGGTCGGTCTTAAGTAGATCAATGTAGCAAACTCCCCAGGATCCAGCACCTTATCTAGAACATTTCTTAGAGTTTTAATCTGTGTTACTTCTGGCAAAAATGTTGTCGTAACTGAAAAGAGACATTGTGTTGGAGGCGAAGATGTATACAGTCCGTTCGCGCTTAAAAAGCATGATATAAGTTCGTTAGAGAAAGTGGCCTCACTGTCCCGATCACTAAGACGCCTTACACCAGTAAAAGTTTTTTTCAAGTTCGCAATTATGTTTATTATGATTAGAAGGGGTCCCACATCTCCAAGTACTCCTCTAGAAGCCTTTTCTCCACGGGTACTTTGAGCTCAACGCAAGTAACGCGAGAAAGCAGGCTTAATCTGTGTCACATTTGCTTATAACAACTTATTTCACAAGATCTCAAAACTAATCCGAAGCAGCGGTTTGAATGCCATTTTTAAGGCCTCGGTAAGTAATAGTTTTCTCGGAGTGAGCACATTCGTACTACCTTACTGAGCTCACTTTCCACTCATGCTGTTTTGCTTGACATCTTACTCTCGTAAGCATTTTGAGGAGCTTTTCCTATTTGGAACATTCTTGTTAGCCTGTCGCCTAATGCCGGAACGACTTCGAATAGAACCGTCCCACTTCCTCCCCTGGCGATTTGCGCATTCTGAGCAAATGGAGCCATTCGTCTGGAAGGACCTGGTTGTTGACACGCAGTCAATCAGTCGCGCGTTGCTCGCCCCTCCCACCCTCCCCCCCCACCACCACCTGCCCTTCCCCAGGTATTGTCTAATTATCTTCACCCGGGAGAGCTGGACGACTGGAGCCACAGTCAGCGGACCCCTCCGCGGCAGCAGCTCGACAAGCAGAACTGTGGTTGACGAGCGAAAGGGAAAAAACGGCTGACTGGCGTTTGCATGCCAATGCGTCCAGAATATGCCGTCACAATTGGCAGTCTGTCTGTGCAGACGAGACAGTGGCGAAGACAACAATAACAACCGACAAGGCAATTGCGCACAACCGACTACCCTGTAGACGAGGCAGGGATTATCTGTGCGCATTATTTTTTGACAATGGACAGCGAAGATGTCTGTCTCAAAAAACATCATGCATGCAATTAATTATTGTTTTTTGAGAAGTGGAAGATTGGCGAGTGAATTCTGATCCATCGGGAAGTATTTTTGGGACACTCCGGCCTTTGCTACCGCAGTCAACAATCAGGCTTTTACTGGCGCTTGCAGCCATCCCTGCAGCAATCATGATTTAGGATGGAGTGGTTTCGTTCATGCCGATACGGTTTGGGGAATTGAACTTATCCGCCATAATTCGGCCCACTCTGTCTTGATCATTTTCTCTGTGCTTGTGGCTTTGGAAGCAGCCTATGCGAGCTCGGATTTGTGACTGCCTGGTATGGCGACATGTGTGGATTCCGGCCTGTAGACAGGAGTCACCTTATACCTTTTTATAAAAGCTCCCCAACACGGGGCATTATTAAATCAAACCTGATTTATAGTAAGTTTTCTCTGAGCATGAATTAAAAACTGAGATACTTCGCTTTTGTCTGGCGATGTATTTGTCCTTCCATGGAATTGCGGAGAACCCTAAATTATTCTACGGGTACATTAGGCAGTGAGCGCGGAACAAGGACCCAATACCCCTGATAAGGACTGCTGAAGGCGAACATCTCATTGACGACAGGGCGAAAGCTGATCACCTTTCAGAATTTTTCCGGTCTGTTTTTAGTAGCGAAACAGGATTCAACCCTTCGGCCCTTTAACCCTTCGAAGACACCTTAATTATAGAAACCGTCCAGTTCACTGAGGGTATGGTTCTGACGGAGTTGCTGAGGCTTAAGGAATCCAAATCACCAGGTCCCGATGAGATTCCGGCGAAGATTTTGAAGGAACTCGCCGGTGAGTTGTCTAAACCACTCTCCATGCTTTTTCATACATCCTTCGAGACCGGATATCTGCCACTCGACTGGAAGTCGGCGTGGATTGCGCCGCTGTACAAGGGCGGAAGTCGGGTCTCTGCGAACAATTACAGACCGGTCAGCCTCGCCTCCATTTGCTGTAAGATTATGGAGAAGATAATAAAGCAACAACTAATGCAGTTCCTTGAACAAAACCATTTGCTTTCCGATTCTCAGCATGGATTCCGAAAAGGCTGATCCTGTGTGACAAACCTGTTCTACTGTCTGGAACACTGGACTAGGTCTGTTGATAGAGGAGATATGGTGCATGCCATCTATATCGACTTTAAAAAGGCCTTCGATAGTGTGCCTCACCACCGCCTTCTATACAAACTTAGTCGTGCAGGAGTGCGAGGTAAGCTTCTGATGTGGATTCGTAGCTTTTTAATCGGCCGCTCTCAAGCCGTCCACGTCGGTGACCAACAATCTGCCGAGGTTGCCGTTAAGAGTGGTGTTCCCCAAGGTTCTGTTCTTGGCCCTACGTTGTCCCTCGTATCCGTCAATGATTGCGCAAACGAACTGAATTGCGATGTCGCAATGTTTGCCGATGACATAAAGATCTGGGGTACCATACGAAGCGAAGTTGATGAGGCGCGACCGCAGGCAAGTCTGGACCACCTCGAGCAATGGTCGAAAGACTGGCTTCTACCGTTTAACGTAAACAAGTGTACTTTCCTACGCGTCGGCAGAACCAGTTCTCCTAACCACACGGTCTACCGTCTGACTGGCAAACCACTGCAAGAAGTCGACGCCCAGAAGGACTTGGGTGTATGGATCACAACCTCGCTTAAGCCTTCGCTGCAATGTTCAAAGGTGGCCAAGTCGGCGATGTCCATGCTATACCTTGTCAAACGGGTGTTCTCCTCCTTTGATGAGGACTGCTTCGCCAAGGTCTTTCAAACTTTTGTGCGACCGCATCTGGAGTTTGCTATCCAAGCATGGCGACCCTGGACCGCTAAAGACTTGGGCATACTCGAAAAAGTTCAACGGCGAGCAACGAAACTTGTATCCGGGCAGTGGTCGCTACCCTACGAAACGCGATTAGCTAATCTTGACCTCTTTCCTTTGAGTTACAGACAGCTACATGGGGACCTGATACAAGCTTTCCGCATCGTGCGCAATCAGGGCTGCTGCCTCGCGTTTGGAGACTTCTTCGAGTTGGCGACATCGACTAACCTGAGAGGTCATCCACTCAAACTGCTTGTGGCTGGTGCCCTGCTAGACAGCCCGCTTTACCTGCCTGCGCATTTTGAGGAGCTTTTCCTGTTTTAAACATTCTTATTAGCATGTCGCCTAATGCCGGGACGACTTCGAATAGAACCGCCCCACCTCCTCCCCTGGCGATGTGCGCATTCTGCGCAAATGGAGCCATTCGTCGGGAAGGACCCGGTTGTTGGCACGCAGTCAATCAGTCGCGCGTTGTCCGTCCCTTCCCTCCCCATCACCGGCCAGTCCCCAGATATTGTCTCGTTATCTCCACCCGCAAGAGCTGGACGACAGGAGTCACAGTCTTACACCCAAGTCCTCCTTCCAAGGCCTTGCATTTACGGTAAGTTGAGGTGTCGATCACCAAAGTAAACATCGCTAGAGAACAGCGCAAGCCAGCCTCACATTCTAATACACATCTAATTTTACCAAACATAAACAACGACCGTAAACACATGCGTTAAAGAGGCTGCGGAAATGCACGCTCTCGACCATAAGCAAGATATAATCTGGTCGGGATGGACAAATTACACGTACAAAATCTTTTTCAAAGTCCATTGTTATGTTTTCTATAATTCCAAGGTGGCCAACTTCAGTTCAGTTTATAAAGGGAATAGCAGGCGAAGAACTTTTAACTCCCTATTGGTTTCAATAATGCCACGAAAAAGAATAAGTAAAACAAGTGTGAAAGGAGGGCAGATAATTAATTAAGCGAAGCTGTATGAATGTGTCAGCGTATGTATACCGTGTCAAAATTGTGAAATAAACATCCGCGGGGAGTCGCAGAGGTGTCATGAATTTATGATTTCTTTGAGGTAGTGTGAGCTAAATAAAATACTAAATACTAAAGTCGAACAACAGACTGAAACGTGTACACTAAATAGACGGTTGAAGTGTGCATTTTCGGTCAGGGAATATGGACTCTGCACTGTTATTTTGAAATTACTTTTCAGATTTGCTATTTTGCACTACCTGCCTACACATTTTGCGGTGCTTTTCCTGTTTTGAACATTCTTGTTAGCATCCCGCCTAATGCTGGAACGGCCTCGAATAGAAACGTCCCGCCTCCTCTCCTGGCGATTTCCTTATTCTGCGCAAATGGAGCTAAATAAAAAATCTTTTGAAAACAGAGAAACCTCTCTCGTTTTTTTAAATACTAATGTCGGACAACAATCTGAAATGAGTACACTACATAGACTGTTGTAATGTGCATTTTCGGTCAGGGAATATCAACTGTGCACTGCTATTTTGAATTTACTTTTCAGATTTGTTATTTTGCTTTATCTGCCTGCGCATTTTGAGGAGCTTTTCCTGTTTTAAACATTCTTATTAGTATGTGGCCTAATGCCTGGACGACTTCGAATAGAACCGTCCCACCTCCTCTCCAGGCGATTTGCGCATTCTGAGCAAATGGAGCCATTCGTCTGGAAGGACCTGGTTGTTGACACGCCGTCAATCAGTCCTGCGTTACTCGCCCCTCCCACCCCCCCACCACCTGCCCTTCCCCAGGTATTGTCTAATTATCTTCACCCGGGAGAGCTGGACGTCTGGAGCCACAGTCAGCTGACCCCTGCGCAGCAGCAGGTCGACAAGCAGAACTGCGGTTGACGAGCGAAAGAGGGAAACCGGCTGACTGGCGTTTGCATGCCAATGGGTCCACAATATGCCGTCACAATTAGCAGTCAGTCTGGGCAGACGAGACAGTGACGACGATAACAACAACAACCGTCAAGGCAATTGCGCACAACCGACTACCCCGTAGACGAGACAGGGAGTGTCTGTGCGCATTATTTTTTGACAATGGACAGCGAAGATGTCTGTCTCGAAAAACATCATGCATGCAATTAGTTATTGCTTTTTGAAGAGAGGAAGATTGGCTGGTGAATGATCCATCGGGAAGTACTTTTAGAAGACTCCACCCCTACCTACCACAGTCAACAAGTTGTTTTCTACTGGCGCTGGCAGCCATCCCCGCAGCAATCATGATTTAGGATGGAGTGGTTTTGTTGATGGCGATACGGTTTGGGGAATTGAACATATCCGCCATAATTCGGCCCACTCCGTCTTGATCATTTGCTGTGCGCTTGTGGCTTTGGATTTGTGACTGCTCGGTGTAGCGGAATGCGTGCATTCCATTATGTAGGGAGGAGTCACTTTTAGTGAAAGCTCCCTTATCTGGCGTGTAGATGAGTCAATCCTGAGTTGTTATCTGTGTATGTTTGAAGTCTTTTCTAAATGAGAAGAGCAGAACTTGCGTAAATAACAAACGACGCACTTGCCTTTCCGCGGAATTGCTGACATACACGGAATGTCGTTTGGTTAATTTGCCCACAGTACCCAACAATGTTCTTACATCCGGGCAGTAGTATTTTGTGCTGGAGGCAAAAATCTTCCTAACTATTGATAGAAAAGCCTCAGTCTGGAATTGACCAGTTGAATTAGAACAAGTTATTCAAAATCAATCAAGACTCCTGATAGAGTGTCCTAAACGTCATTCTAAAAATAGTAACAGAGACTGCGTTTCACGAACTTGGCTTGGTGCACTCGGCACAAAATAGGCCTCAGAGCACGATTTTGCAAAGTCAAACATAAAGTCAGTTATAAAATTATGCCCAGATAGCATCAACTCGAACGCTTTAACAAGAATTCCATTTGGTTGTCGTTTGAGATTTACGTTCGAACCCACGATCATAGTCAGCGACAGCAGCAGATAAGCACATCAATTCACAAATACTACCTTTTTCGTCACCATACGTCCACTTAGATATTCAGCCCCATTTTTCATCAAAAAAAGCGTTAATTATGCGACGATTGCTAGCTAGTAGTCTCGCAGGGCTGCCGTCTGATGCGATGGCTCGGACCTCACAGTCAGTCCAGTGTGTCTTTGTGTAGGTTAGTCGACTGTTGCGCTGAGAGCCAGGTTGAAATACTCCTTCTTGCTCTGGCGTTTACGCGATTTCCATTTAGTCGGAATCCGAGTCGTCCTGGCCGTGCCTGTTGTGTGAAATCCCGGTCATTTATGCGCAAACCAGGACGTGTGATTGCACGCCTAGTTGCTGTCTCATGCCGCGCCAGAAATTTGCGTCTTCTCACCCCTCTCATCTTCTTGAATCTGTGATGACACCGGGTCGAGGCTGGAAGAGAGGAATGAGGGCCGTAGATGTGTGAGAGCCGCGTAGTTCATCGTTCCTGAGCCAACTCTGAGATGAGAAACAGGCTGGAGGCTGTCGAAGTCGTCTGTCGGACTGTTAGTTCTTATACGAGTTGTCAACGGTCACGGTTTGGTCCGAAGCGTTGGATTGGTGTAAATATGACTCGGAAATTTGGTCAGTTGTCGTTGCTAGCAAAAGTGGCGTGCATCCACGTCCACTCGACACGAGGACTTACTTTTTACAGACAAGGTTAACACTGAAAAGGGAGGGGACATATTACCACATATGTTAATTGCCCGCGTTACGGAGAGGAATGTTTCAAGCAGTTTGAGGCTTACGCGGATGCTGATTATTTGGAGAATTTCCGTCTCGTGAACCTGGAGTTTGTTCAGGTCCCCTCGAATGGGTGCTCCACTGTTGATGCGTACTAGACCATCCACAACGTCCTGAGTTATCTCCCAATTTCTCCGACGTAGTAACTTTGCCGGCAACTGCGTCAGATAAGGCGAAGTGGCATTTCCTTCCGTGGAAGCTGGTTTTCGGCCTCACTACATGACGGTTGATGGTTGCCTCTGAGCCGGGTGCGGTGTCAGCTGTGAGTGATGTGAGGGGACAACTGACGGCTTCTGGGGCCTTCTTGATGACCAGAAATGCTGGTCATATTAGTTGACCCAGCATTCAATGTAACCAGTCAGTGGCTCACGAAAGTGCTGTGTAAGAAAGCCCTCCTTGAGGAAGTAGTTAAATCGACAGTGTAGCGTGACAACCAATATGTTTTACTAACCACTTACAGATTCTACCACTTAGGGTATCGTTCTTGGTCGGATATCAAGCATACTTGAGATGCAGACAAGCAGTATAATTATTTAAGTCGCTGAGACGACACTACCGGTTTGTTCTACCTTTTAAAGATTAAGTTACCGGAACATATTTTCGCACAATATAAATGGAAAAATTTACGCAAACTACAAATATACTTCATAGGAGGTTTGCTAACGGGCTACTTTTGTCCTCCGGAAGATCTTTCTCCGAAATGTCAGAAGGTGGAGTGTCAGATGAATAATCGGTAACACCTGAGCACGATAGATGCTTGGTCGTGTGATTCACGCACGCCCTCAGTTTACCCAGATCCCTTATCAGTATTCGTTTTGGTGCGCTTAACGGGTTGTTCATAGCTGGTTTGGGTCGGTGGCATCTCCAACCCGACCGAGTTTGGGGATTTTCAAGACTTCAGAAACACTATCAAGATTGAAAACAAGCATGTACAGAATTTATTGGGGCCAATAAATTTCGTGGCGGCTTTTCAACTGCAACCCGTCTCTGCATAACATAGGTTAGTTTGTTGAGGATGTCTTCTTTTTTGTGAGTTGCTGGTTTTATCCGCCGAAGTGTACGTAAGTGGGGTCTGTTTTGGAAGTTCCTTTGGAGACGAAGTTGACAGAGGCATGGACATAGCACACTTTAAAGCGGCTAATTATTCACTAAGTAGAGAGCGCTGGCTGCTGAAATCAACGAAATATCAATAACTTCTAACTATAGTTATGTCTCTGACCACAGTTAGCGGTAATTTTGGTTCTGGTAAAACCAAAGAAAATACCCATTTCGAAGACCACAATCTGAACATTAGATTGTGTATTAATGGGAATGTTTTAAGCGCGAGCCTTTCTCTTACGTGTCAAATGGTACACCTTACTAATTTTACCTTATCCGATGGAATCTCTCGAATGATTTCTTTATCCGTTTCCTATAATTATCCTGGTGCATTTGCAGATGGAATGAGGGTTTCTCATTCTTGCTTTCTGTTTTATATAATTCCCATTATTTCGCGTCTCCAGACCTATCGGAAGCCAACTACGGCGTTTTGGTCTGACTGTTTTCCGCCGAGATTGTCTAGCTCTCAAATACAACATGTTG